TCTGCGCGGGTGTCGTCAATCTTTCGTGTAACTTCACATGTATAAAAAAAAAATCTAGGTTGCACGCAGGTGCTCGGCACCTCGCTACCCCCGTGTAACCGACTGTCTATAAAATAAAAGACCCCCATGCAGAAGCCGCCACTGAAACACATAGTGTGGCCTGTAGCGGTGCCCCCGCAGCTCCTGCCAAGCTGCCCGCCATGCCGGCGCCTTGCGGTCCTGGAGGCGGTGTGGCGCCTGCACTGCCGACGGCAGGTGACAGGACAGCAGTTGACAGCGGCTGACATCGTCGATGAATTCATCAACGGCGTGGACTGTGCGGGGCGCGGGGACTGGCACAGCGCCCAGTCTAAAGCCCCTGAGCTCGCCGGTGCGAGGCCCTCGTGGTTTCCAGGCCGAGGCCAGCTACAATGGATTGCAGGCTGTGTCAATGGGCAACACCACGCTTTGCCGTGCACGGTACTCTGTAACTGGTCTGTACTCTGTGATTGCATCAATTTTCAAGCAACACAACATGTGGGAGTTGTTGAGTGTCCTGGATAATTTTTTGCACAGAGCAGCGTTTTCACTTGAGCACGACGATGGTAGCATTTCAGAAGTCTTGTGTATCCTAGCTTTTACCATTTGTGCGGTGATAAAAATGGCACGTGATCAGTCTGGGACAGCTTGAGAAGCAACCGCTTGCGAGTCACCTGTCATATTGATTGATGAATGAAATTGTCATGAAAACGGTCAATGTCATGTGTCACCATGGGACAGAAAAAACATGTGTATTGGGTGCGTGGCGAGTAGGTACAACAGTCAAAAGTTAGACTACAAAATCAACATGAAACAACATATTTTTTTCACTGCCTCGCAATGTCGCGCGCATGCCCCTTGTCAATGAGCTCAGGTCACCGGTACAGCGGCCATGGCTGCTGAACCTGCGTAAATTGCCCGCAGCCGGGGGTGGTGGAACTTGCATGCCGCGCCAAACTTGCACTGGTGCGTCTTCAAGTAAAATGCGCACACGGGCTCGCTCGCGCGGAAGGGCAGCTGCAGGTCGGTCAGGGGCACCGCAAACTCCTCCGGGTGGTCGAAGCAGCAATCCTGGGCGTACTTGCAGGTGCCGGTCTTGACATAAAAGTCGCACGATTGTTGGCCGGGACGCCGCGGAAATGGCGGCCAGTGCAGAGGCGTCTCGCCGTCGTCTGGCTCATAGCCCACAACGACCAAGGGGCCTCCCGCTGCCACCATGCTGCTGCTGCTGCTGCTGCCGTTATCCAGGCTGCCGTTGCTCGCTGCGCTGCCCGCGCCCCTGTCAGCCAAAGCTACTGATTGTGGCGGCGATGAAGCTGCCGGCGCCAGGGGCTCGGCCAGGCCTGCTCGCTCAGCGAGGGCGGCCGCATAGCTGCTTGGCACGCCCGCGCCTGGGGTGAGCGGCGACGCGGCTGTGATGGAAACCACCGGTGGCAGCGGCGGCAGCTTGCTGACGCTGCCTGCCACTGAGAGCCGCGACAAGTCGCCCTGCTGCCGCTTGGCAGCAACTGCTCCGCGCTGCTGCAAGCCGCCGCCACGCACGCCGCCATTGGCTGCTGCGGCGGCCGTGGCCCTGGCGAGCTGCTGAAACCGCTTGCAGAAGGGCTGCAGGCAGACGGTGCCCTCTGGCCAGTACTTGCCCAAGTGAGCGTCGCCGGCAAGGTGCGTTGCGGCGAACACAAACACGCCCATCAAAAGGTCAGGAAAGCGGCTGTTGAAAAACCTGAGGGCCAACGGGCGACAAGGGGTATACATATCATTAGGTGCAGCTGTAAAGGGGGTTCTGCTGTTACGGCGTTTCAGCAATCGCACTCAAGCCCTTGGTCCCGTGCTCGATGGCTGCAACACCCTGGTGGCGCCACGTCCCACGACTGTGCAGCAACCCAAGCTGCTCGGTAGGGGGCTGTCGTGTGTTTCTTGGACCCCCACCTGAAGTAGCCGTCTGGCACGGGCCCCATGGTGCGCTGCAGGGCCTCCGGCATCTCCCGGAAATGGTTCTTCTTGTTGCGCACAACGCGCAGCAGGTCGCGCAGGCTGGTGTAGTCGTATCGGCGGTATTTCCCCAGGTTGACGATGAGCTCGGCGTCAACAGACGCGGCCCAGTTGGGGGCGGGGCCGAGCGCTGCCGGGCGGAAGGACTCGAGAGCGCTGAGAAGGGACTGATCGGGCTCACGATCCTCAAACTCCACCCTTGAGTGGGGCGCGAGGGGCAGGGGTTGAAAGGGTGTGATGAGGATCTTGCAAGGGACCTCGGCAAGGGATTTAGCAGGCAGGGCGTCCATGCATTGAGTGTATGGGTGTCTTCAAGGGAAGGAGGGGGCGTCATGACAAGAGGTAAAAGGTGAGAAGAGAGTTGGCATCAAGGAAGCATGCAACAAGGATCTAGAGAAGGTCAACGGGACGCGATGCTTGATAGGGTGCTACCCTTGAGGGGTCCTCCCATCCCAACAATCCACAACAACCCTCACCTGTCGCTGACGTCAATAAGGAAGTTCAGGCGCTGCTCCACGCTCCACCAGAACGGGTGCGCCAGCACGCCGGACATCGCCGGCCGCGCTGCCGGGTTCTTGGACAGCATCGCGCCCACGAGGTTGGATGCCTCCGGTGATGAGGACAGCGCAGAGAGGTTGGGCTGGCCGCGCATGATGTTGGTGTCGCGCTCAAAGTTGCCGCCAAAGGGGTGCAGGCCGCCGGTGAGGCAGTAATGCATGACGCAGCCAAGGGAGAAGATGTCCATCGAGCGCGTCTGGCGGACAGCGCCGCCGCTGCGGGCGATGAGCTGCTCTGGAGCTTGCCAGCCGGAGCTGCCGCCTGCAAGATGGAAACGGTGCATGGGTTTCTGAGAGCATTGAGGGCTGCGGAGGGGGCCTAGACTGCTGCTGGCAGGAGGGTGGGCTTTCATGCCTCAGCTCACTTGTTGCCCTGTGCACGTGCCTCACAACAGGACACACATGAAGCACAATCACAGCATGTGTGCTTGCTAGTTGACAGCGACACCCTTGTTTTGTCCCATTGGCTGTACTCATGGCTCATTGCTGCCACCACCACACCCCTAACCCGGCTCACCTGCGCCGTGGCTCTCGAAAGAGCTCTGCTCCGCGACTAGCTGCTTGCTGAGGCCCATGTCTGACAGCTTGGCACGACAGCTGTCAGTGATGAGGACGTTGTGGGGCTTCAGGTCGCGGTGCACAATGGCGCGCGCGTGGAGCGCCGCCAGGCCAGCACCCACGTCGGAGAGCAGCGCCATTGCTTGGGGGGAGGAGCCTACGGGGCCCCCACCACCCACCAGCGCGGCCTGCGCATGGGAGGCAGCCAGGGTGCAGCACTAGTGCTCAGAAAGGTGCGCGTCCAAGGTGAGGGTGCATGCACGCTTTAAAGAGCAGGCTGCGTTGATGTGTGCGTAGAAAACATAATTGAAAATGCGTATGTGGGACCAGCTGCAACCGTGGCCATTGCTTGGAAACACAGCAGCATGCAGGCGTGGACCCCAGAATTCACCCTTGCTGGCGCCCGCTCACCCGCCCCTCTGCGCTCGACACCCAGTCGCTCAGCGTGCAGCGGCACTTCTCCAGCGCCAGATACACGAACTCGCGGTCCTCCTCCATCGCGAAGCACCTCACAACATTGGGGTGCTCGTCGCTCACAATAAGCACCTGGGTGAGGCAAGGTTGCACAAAGTTGAGACAGGAGTGCACAGCGAGGTGCCGTGAGCCACGGTTGCAGGTTAAGCTGCTGGCCAGGTGGCACATGAGCGGCAAGCATTGGGTATGCAAGCCGACCCAGCTTTCCCCCCACAGCAGTGACGTGGCAGTGCCTAACAGTAGGCTGTGCTGCCCACCTGGATCTCCTTGCGCGCCAGGTCATAAAACTGCCGCAGCAGCCGCTTCACTGCCACAGGCCGGCCATCCAACACACCTTCATACACGATGGTGCCTTGAAGAGGCCATGAGTGCGTGCGGACAAGGATGGCAGGGGCACAGCGAGGCGGCAGGAAAGGCAATGGTCTTGGTCAAATGTGAGCTTGTGTTTTGGGTTATTGGGGGTGGGGGGTCTGTGATCAGCTGCAGCAGTCGCAGGTTCAAGCAAGTCCACGATTTCATTGAAGTGGCCTCCATCACACCCCAAACCACTAATCCCGCCTCTAACCTGCGCTCCCGTAGCCCAACACGCCAGGGCCGACGCGCAGCCGCCCGATGATGACGGCGCCAGACTCGTCGACATAGCTGCGGGATGTGTCGGAGGACAGGCCCGCGCCATCGCTGGCATTGCCGCGGCGGACGCTATCTGAGCTGTGATTTGATGATGACTGCTGCTGCTCCTGCGGGTGCTGTCCCTGCACCACGGTTTGATTCAGCTGTTGCTGCTGGGGTTGTTGCTGGCTGTCTTCGTGGCCCTGCGCTACAACCTGCTGCTGCTGCTGCTGCTGCCGCTGCTGCTGCTGCTGCTGCTGCTGCTGCTGCTGCTGCAGCTCCTGCTGCTGCTGCCGCACAAGTTGGATGGAAGCCTGCTGCTCTGGAGCCTGGCTGTATTGCTGCGCGCCATTGACCTGCATGGGCGACGGCACCGTCTGTTCCTCGCGGGCTGGCTGCAGGGGGTGCTGCTGATGCCGCCGCGGCGACGGCGGCCGCTGTTCTTCTGTGCGGGGCGCCGTCGGCTTCCCGCTTTCCACTTGCAGGGGATCCCGCTGGTGCGAGCCGTTGTGCTGCACAAGCACGGCCGCCTGCTTGGACTTGCCAGCCTTGCCCTGCTTGTTCTTGCCAGGCGCGCGCTTGGCTGCAGCGGGCGTTGCCGCGTCAGCGCTGGCCGCCTCTTGCTGCGTTGCCAGCCGTGAAGTCGGCCGCACATACAGCAGCCAGCCCAGGACAGCGACGACAGCTGCAAGGGTGGCCAGGGCCATCAGCAGAAGCTGAACCGCATTACCCACCAGCCAGGCTCCCCAGGTCAGCGCCTACAAGGGTTGCAAGAGGGGGACCAAAGTGGTCAATGCAGTGGTCAAGGAACTTGGCCTGAGCAAAGTGCGAGGCAGGCGATGGCATGCATGCATCTTATCAAGATACAGCATTTGCAGTGTTGCTGCCGCTGCATCCCCGTTCCAGAAGCGCCAGCCCCCGGCACGACCGCGTTGTTGCCCACCTTCCCGGCCGGCTGCCCAGCGTCCGGCAGCCACGGCAGCGCCGGCGCGCCCTCCCCCCAGTCCGACAGCTGGTACAGCCCCAGCGGCAGGTGTGGGCACACCAGGCCGCCTAGGCCCTCGGCCACGCCCTCGTCCGAGGGCTCCAGCGGCACCAGGCTGCGCGCGCGCGACGCGTCCTCGTCCTGGACCACCAGGGCCCCATAGTCCTCTGCGCGGCACTCCCCGCCGCCATCCTCCAGTGTGTCGCCACCGGCGCCGCTGTCCGTATCCTCGTCCCCGCTGCTGACCCCCGCGCCGGGCCCAAGCGGCGTGAGCGGCCCGAGCGCGCCCGGCCAGGGGCGTGGGGCGCACTCTGTGCACTTGCGGCCTTCGGGTGGCGGCAGTGCCGCGGGCGCGGGTGCGAGGGCGTCGAGCATGATGTGGTCTGCTGGCAGCGCGTACAGGCTGCCGCGCAGGGCGCCCACCAGCACCGAAGTGCCACCTGCCAGGTTCCCCTTGATCTTGGCGCTGACACCGGCCGGCTTGCGCTGGGGCCCGTAGGGCAGCGAAGGGCGAGCGCCGTAGTCTTGGGGCACCAACAAGTTGGTGGAGGCTGTTTGGGGGGGAGGACAGGAGGGTGGGGAGGGCAGGCAGCGCAGTTAGTGCCGAAGGCGGCAGGCAGGGGCAGCGCTGCTCCTGCGGGTACCCGGCTATTGTGACCAGCTGCCAAGGCAAGCACGACACTCGCAGAGCATGGCTGCAGCCCACGAGGGCCAGCGACACACACAATTCACAGCGCCCACCCAACCCTTGCACCCCACTCTCCCTCCCCCACAAACCCCTCTACCTTCATACGCGCACCCACCATCATCGATTGCAAATGCCCCGACTGGTGGCGTACCGAAGTCGATGCCCCACTTTCTGAAACCCGTTGAGCCATCGAAGGCCTGCAGGCTGTTGTCTGCGCCAACCACCAGCCGCACGGCGTCTGCGCAGCAACACAATGTTGCAGAGCCAGGAGCAGGTTGAAGCGGGGGTGTCCGCCAGTCTGGCGGGGTTAGGCCACTGTGCACGTAGACAGGCCGCTGGCAAGCAAGCTTCATAGCAGCACCGACACCCATCAATCAGAAGCACATGCGGGCGCAGAGCCAAGGCGCGCGCACCGCACCTGGCCCCTCGCCCGGCCGAGCGGGCAGCGATGCCTCGGCCCCAGCGCCGACCGCGCCCTCTAGGAAACTGCGCACGCCCGCTGCGCTGCCGCCCGGCTGCAGCAGGCTCATGCGCGCGAACGTGGCGTTCCACATCTCCGCCTGCGAGTCGACCCGCAGCGACTTGACGATGAAGTCCTGGCGCCCTACCAGCAGCAGGCTCTCCAGGCCCTCGTTGGAGGCCAGGCCTGGTGGCGCGAAGGAACGCAGCAAGCAGTGGGGGGGGGAGGGGAGGAGGACGCCAGACGAGCAACAGGGGTTCAGCGTGAGCATCAAGTATGCAAGGCCTAGCAGCTGCGACCTCCGGCTGCTGCCTGCCAGCCCACACTGTGATGATGGCATACGGCCCCCGCATGCCTTTTGCCCACAGCGCACCAGACCAGGCGAGCCTCCCCGACTGGTCAGTGCTGTCCGCTGTCAGCGTTGCTAGCTGCTGCCCCGTGTGACGATCAAGAACGAAAACGCGCGAGTCGCGCCGCCCCACGATGAGCGAGCCGTCCGCCGTCAGGGACGGTGCCGCCTGCACCAGCTCTGGCAGCGACAGAGGTAGGCGCTGCACACAATTTGAATGGGGGGGGTGACAAAGATTGGGGGACGAGGACGAGTTGACAGGCTGAAACAGCGAGCAGCTGGTCGCAATACCTGGCTGCCCTCTTGCTGCACGCGCCCCACCTGGCTCCGCCTATGCGCCGCCCCTGCCCCGCCGCATTCTGCCGGGACCGCCCCGAAAACCCGAGGCCTGCGCGCACCTCCAGCCCTGGCGTGCGGTGCTTCGACACGCCGTGGTACGCGTACAGCCCGCCGTCCACCCCGGGAAAAACGTTGAACCCGCTGCCCTGCGGCGACTGCTTCGCCGACACCAGCGGCGCGCCAGAGTCGAAGGTCCACAGGACGCGGCCGGCGTCGCGGTCCACCCCGACCACCACACCGTCCAGCAGCGTCACGATCAGCGGTGCCCCGCCGCCGCCGCCAGGGATGGCTGGGGAGGACGCTGGCAGGGGCCTGAGCGGCAGGGTATGCAGCGCAGGGGCCGAGCGGGTGGGGTGGACGGGGGCAGTCAAACATGGGATGTGGGACGAGCAGTCATGAGTGACGCACGGTGGAGTGACCCACGGCGCGCATCGCAATCCCCCTTCGCACTCCCCGCACCTGTCGAGGCCGACAAGCTGCCTGGCTTGTCTGCGGTTGCTGTTGGCCAAACCATCAGATACAACGAGCTCCTGCTGGCTTGCACTCGGGCGCGCACCGCAGAGCAGCAGCAGCAGAAGCAGTGGCAAGCCAGGTGCGCCGCAGGCGCGCAATGGCGCACGCCCTAACACCCAGCGCAGATAGCGGTACATTGGAGGCGAACAGTGTTTGGTTGCCCCCAAGGGTCACGTCCGTTGCCGTGCTGGCATCATCCAGCACTTTCAAGGTGGATGGATCGCGAAAGTGCGGGCCCGCGTGGCGGAGGTGCGCGTGATAACGTAGCTTGGTAATGTCAATCTTTCAACGCGATCAGGGATCACAGACTACCACGGAATCGTTCCACTGGCAAGCTCGAAATCGTGCTGTCCTGGCAGCTGCCTCGTCAAGCAAGGCACTCGCGTACCGGTAAGTTCCTTAAAGCGCTGACACCTCATTTACGAGAGCTACATTGCGTGTCTTTTTGGATCTGCATCGCAAACAACTTGCACGGAGCTTGGCCATCCGCCATGTCGCCGCACTCAACATACCCAGACACATGTGTATGATAAGGCTCGGGAGGAACGAGATGTGCGTTCAAAGTCGTCCTTACTCGGGCAGCATGCATTCACTCGGGCGCGCGCCGTTCACCTCTGTGCCACACTGTCGGGCGTCTGTGCGCGTGTGCTAGGGATTGCTGATAAGCCAAATATTGTATTGCATGGGACAGGAAATTGAGGTGAGACAGTCACGTCGTGGCGGTCGCAGTCAACAACCACGCACGAAACAAGATGGCTGGGGAGCGCGGCTACCGGCAGGCAGGTTTGCAGGTGACGGGCGGGGAGTAGTGGACCAGCACAGAGCGCCACGTCGCTGTACTAGAGTTCGCCGAGCGATCACCACTTCAGGAATACGTCTCTTCATGAGCGACTTGCTCACAACCTACCAAAGGCTTCCTTAGTCTGCCAAAGGCTTGCATCACATGTATGCTCTTGCATACATGCACACATGTACCCCGTACAATATCACCCGGTAAACTTCGCAGGGTGCTTTGAATCATTGAATGCAGAGCGCCCCCATGCAGGGCGTCCAGGTCAGGAAGCACTCAGCCTCCCATACCCACTCCGCCCGCCCGCCGATTGGGGCCGCCCCCGGCAGCTCAACTGCTAGAGCAGCAGGGGCTTACGTACGTTGCAACATGAGCTGCTCTGTGACCCATCTGCCTGCGACCCATGTACCTCAGCCCTCCCATCGATGGCCTATGCATCGGCCTCTCAAATGCTGCATTGCGCTGCGACTGAGGGGTATGCAGGAGGCAACGGAGCTGTGGTTCAGCCTGGGCCTAACTATGCTGTCCGGCTTGCCTGATGGCTGCCCTGCGTGTGTGTACATGTGGGGAAACACTTTGTAGCCACACATACGCAAAGCTGCCAGCTTCTGGCGGAGGTCGGGCTGACTGTATTGCCTGCTTCAGCACCCACCTTATTTTGTGTGTGCATTTTGAGGTCCAAATCGCTATTCTTGTGGCAGCGTGGTACTTAGTTTCCTGGCAGCAGTGCTTTGCAAACCCATGCACTTTTGTCGACAGCCGCCGGCGCACTTCCCTTCACGTAATCAGTTTGAGCAAAGTCGTACGCACCACCCGTTCCGCTGCATCAGCTCGCTCTTCGTCCTGCACCCACCCCTGCGTTCCACTTGCTTGGTGTGAGCAGTCGAACATAATATCCAGCTCTGACCTCGCTGGCCCTCCTTCAGAGGCGGGGCACAGGCAACTCCTTGGTTATACCATTTGTCAGTTCTACGATCACCTGTGCAGTGATGCATTTCAGTTGTTGCAGCACGGCCTCGGAGAAGGCGAAGCCATGGCGACGCATCGCACATTCAGTTGTCTGTTTGCAAATCAAGGGTGACGACCCTCGGCACGTGTAGTGGCAACTCTGCAGCAGGCAAGCTGTTCAGGGATTGATCGATCGCTTTTTCATCGTCGACGCATTCACTCTTTTGCTTACTCGGATTCGGTAGCGGTCGGTCGGTGGGTCTCGATCCTCGAACCAGCAACGATCAACAGCATGCGCCAACAATGAGGTGTGCACTGACATGTATATGTCGGAAACTTGAACGAGTCATCGCACCTTCTGGCATGGCGGCAGGCTGACAAAGTGAATCCGCACCCGCAGGGGAACGCCACCCGCACCAGCACATCCGTGGGCACGCCTGCACGCAGGCGCCTTGCATGGCCGAGTGTCATTGCACAGCTGGGTTTCAGTGCATCATCGCCGCCATACAGCATGCCTCGCCAGCAGCCTTAGCAGCAGTGGCCTCGCGCCCCGCCCTGAGCGGCGAGGCAGTCCGGCACCCCAGCCCACCCCTCCATCGCCAGGCGGCAGCAGCAACAGCGGAGGCGGTCAAGGGAGCAGCGGCCGCGGCATGGAACCAGTTTCAGTGCTGAAGCAGCTTGAAGCCGCTGAGTCGTGGGGCAAGCTGCGGGGTGTCTGGTTGCAGAGTGGTGACAACCTTCAGGAGCCGCTGGTGATGCCGCAGGTGCTGCGCGCGTTTCGGCGCTGCAAGATGTCTGCCAAGGACACCGCAACCATCCAGGTCAGTGGGGGCTAGCTGCCCTCCAAGCTTGGGTTTCTTTTATGCCCAAGGCCGCGGGCAGGGTTTGGTATTTGATGGTGACACAGAGCACACGCATGGTGCTGTAGAATAGCAATTGCAGGGGCTTACAATTGGTCCACGGTTTGGAACGGGCTCGCTGGCAAGGGCAGGCATTGGCGCGCGTTCAACTTGTGTGTTGATCGAGCTCTGGCAGAAGCAGTTCGCTTTTGGGACGCCCCAGTAACAGTTGTCACGCCTGCAACATCCCTTGCCCTTGCACGCACACTTCCTGACGCTCGTTGCGCGACGGGTTTGCACCACACATGTGCGTGTCAAACCTGAACTTCTCTCGCCCTCAAACTCTGCACTTGAACACCAGGACCTGACTTTGGAAGCGCTTGACCGCCTGCTCCCAAAGCTGGCGGATCTATCAGCAGCTTCCCTGACCGCTTGCCTGGAAGATGTGGCGGCCCTCCTCGTGCGAGGAGACAAGCCGCTCCCCAGCAGCTTTCCGGCGCAGCGCGTCGCAGATGCAGTTGAGGCCGCGACGGCCAAGGCAAAGACCCTGGCCTCTCTGGCAGAGCTTGCCTCCGCCACAACCGGCCTGACCGTACCCCTGCCGTCCACAGCGCTCGCCGCGCGCATGAAGCAGCTGCTTGCGCAAGACGACAAGACGCAGCGCCTGCGGCGGCCCGACTTAGGGGCGCTGTCGGTGCTGGTGCACACGCTGGGGCCTCGCCAGGCCGCGGTCATCGAGGATCGACAGCTGCTCATGATGGTGGCAGGCTCAGTACAAGATCACTTGCAGCGCTGCACACTTGGCGCCTCGGGTGCCTCGCGGCGTGAGCCGCGGTCGGCCGGAGCTGCTGCCGGCGAGAGTCCCCGAAAGGGCGGGCGCGGCAGCACTCCCAGCCATGCAGGCAGCCACGCGGAGCCCAGCCAACCAGCACGCCTGGCCGCCGCACCGGTCGCCGACCTTCTCAAGTGGCTAGCCGTCGGCAAGGCAGCTGGGATGCTGGGCCAGGCCTGGTTTGTGAATGTGCTGGCGGGTGTGGCCGCGGCTGCGCCTGCCTGCACAGATCCAGGTGGGCCTTTGAAGTAGTGCTGGGGGTTGGTTATGACTGGCTGAGACAAATGCTGGCTGGAAGCTTTCCTTCCATGACCAATTGAATAGCACAGACGTGAACGCGACGCTGTTGACTCGTCCTGTTGCAGCTTACCGCCCTGCAATCAAAGCACCCTGCACGCTGAATTCCCCTGCATCTATCGCAGTGCGCCTGGTGGATCTGCTGCCACTGGCACTGCCGCTGCTTCCAGAGCTGCAGCAGCGCACCGACAAGCGCGGCGGCAAGAAGAGCTCAGGCGCTGAGGCGTGGCTTGGTTCAGTGGTGGGGGCAATCGAAGAAGCGGTTGTGCAGGAAACGTCAGGCGGCAAGCATGGTGGCAAGCCAAAGGGCAGCAACAGGACGATTCTGGACGTGTCTGAGGCGGTGGTCCTGCTCCGTTCCTGCAGCCTTGCCGATTACAAGTGAGCGGCCTGTGCAAGTTCAGGCCCAGCCAGTCAGGATGAGCTTGCGCCGGAAGCCTCAAACAGATATTGTGGTTGTGTGTTCACGTGGTGGTGGAGAGTGCCGGGTAGTGGCCCACCCGGGGGAAGGAGTGTCATGCGTGTGCAAGAGGAAGCTGTCTTCGTTGGTCCTGGAAAATTTGATTTCCACCCAAGACCAAAATCACCCAAGGAGCCTGATCACCTGAACTGGTGCGTTTGCCCCTGCCATCATTTGGTGCCCGCAGGCTCCCTCTCGGCGTGCTCCACGCGTGCGAGACGGCACTCTTGCAGGACGCGGCGCAGCAGCGCTGCCGCGGCGCCGTTGCGGTCGAGATTGCGCGCGGCTTCAACAGCCAGCGACGCCTGCACCAGGGCGCCTGGGCGCCCTCAGGCAGCCTGGCGCGGCGGCTCCTGCGGTGTGCAGAAGTCGCCCAGCTGGCTACAAGGGAAGCTGGGGAGAAGCTTGCTGACCTGGTGGAGATCATTGTAGGAGAGTGGCAGGTGCGGGAACGGGGAGGTTGCAAGCATGTCAGCGGGGGCTGCGCGCACTGCAGCCCTGATATCTTCACACGCGCACGTGAATGCGTGCACACTCACGAGTCAAAGCTCTCTCAATACACAACTAAACACCCAATAATTCCATTGATAACAATCCACTGTGTACTCACGCACCACGCACACCCTCCGTCCCCCGCCCCCACGCGGGGGCGGTGCACCTCCCTCCCTGCTGCTTGCAGTACCGCCCCAAAAGTGAACAGCTGTGGGATATCGAGCAGGCAGTTTCGGGCATGTCCGTCAAATCAGACCGCAGCAGCCACAGGGTCCAGCTCGCCCTGCTGCGCCACGGCTGCGTCTTCAGCAACATCCGCGCGCTGTGCCTCGAAGTGGTCGCCACGCTGAGAGAGTGTGAGGCCGCAATGGCCGCCGGCTGCCCGCCTGTGCAGCCGGCTGGCAACAGCGCGGCAGCTGGCAGTGGCGTGAAGGGGAAGAAGAAAGACGCCGCAAAGCAGCCCGCGGCGGACGTGGCCGCGGCCCAGGCCGCCGAGGCGGCGGCCGCGGAGGCCGTGGCGCAGGTGCTGCTGCTCCTGAAGGCCGTGGCCCAGCCGCCCACACAGCATCAGCTCGCCGCTATCCTCGAAGTAGAGGGTGCCGGCCTGCTCAGTCACTCGGTGCAGCCGGGCTCCAAGTACCACGCAGCCCTCGTGTGCAGCGCTGTGAACGCCGCGCTGCCGGTCGCCGGCACAGCACAGGCTCTGGGGCTGCTCTCGCGGCTGTGCGACTACTTCGACGCCCTCAAGGCGGGCGTCGGGGCTGCAGGCGGATTGGAGCCCGGGTTGGAGGGCTTGCGGACAGACCAAGTGCTCTGGCCGTACGCCATCCTGCAGTCCACGCAGCAGCAGCTGGGGGCCGTGGTCGAGGCGCAGGAGCTGTTGCGCGCGGTCGAGGCGCGCGTAATCGCCGCGCTCCCAGAGCTCACACCCGCGGCCGCCGCGGCGGCTCTGGAGGACAGATGTGTGCGGCTTGGTGCGCGGGTCGGCGGCGGGCCAGGGGAGGCAGGCGAAGAGGCGCAGCGCGTGCTGGCGGCGCCGAGGGAGTGGGTTGTGGCAGTGCTGGACGCGGCCCTGGCAGCTATGCGGTCACCCGAGTGAGCAGGGGCGGATGCCTTCCTTGCTAATGCGGCATTCAGTTTGGCTAAGCTTCCCCGCTGTGCGTGCTTTGTGTCTGGAAGCATTGCAGCAATGTGTTTTGGACCTTTGGACACCGCTTAATGCGGCGCTGCATCCCCCAGAATGCCAGAGAATCATGCTTTGAGCCTCTTGCGCCTGCTACCTTCACCTGCTCCCTTTGCACACATCACCGATGCGCTGCGCTCGCTTCCCATTGTTAAGCCCACCCACCAGCAAACCCTCCGCGCCCGGCCGCGCACCCGCCTCCTCCCGCACTGCAACAGGGCCGACGTTGACGCCCAGGCGCTACTCTCCCTCCTGCGCGTCGCAAACGCCCAGTCGCCGCGGCCCGTTGCACCCAGCGGCGGCACGGAAGCCTGGGACCGCCTGCTGCTTGCCGCCGACCGGCTGCGGCGGGCGCGCGACCCCGGAGTCACAGATCCCCTGGTGATCTGCTCCCTGCTTGAGGGGCTGGTTCTCCAAGGCTATGCGCCAGCCACCAAGACCGCAGCGGAGCGCATCAGGCAATTTGCCGCCGAGGTCTGCGAGCTGCCCAGCCTGACGGCGCTGGCGCACAACGCGCCGGACCGGCTGGCGGCGATGGTGCTTGCCCTGGGGCGGCTGAACAGGGGCAGAGCTGCAGATTCAGGCAGCGGAGCAGTAAGGGGCAAGGCGGTGCAGCTTCTGGCGGAGGTCTGCCAAGACTGCCTGGTGCCTATGGGCGCGGCAGCAATCGCGGATGCGGCGTGGGGGGTGGTGCTGTTGGGCTTTGCGGAGCCGTCAGCCGCTGGCGGTGCCATCAAACCCAGGCTCTGGGCAGCAGCCGCCGCAAAGGCCCTCTCCACCAACGGCGCTCAGGCGCTGCAGCAGCTGGGATCGATAGGCGCGGGGCGCCTGCTTGGAGCGCTCGCGGCACTGGGGGCGCAGCAGCCGGCAGGGCTGGCGGGTGAATGGTCGAGGGCGCACGTCGCGGCGTCTCAGCTGGGGGAGTACACAGACGAGGAGCTGGTGCGCGTGGCTGCTGCTGGGGCGGTCCTACCTGACGCTCGAGTCTTTGGGGCCCTCCGGCTGCGCGCTGCAGGCGATGCTGCAGTTGGCGCTGATCGTCCAAAAGCGATTGCCGCGATACTTGTGATGCCAGGCACATACCGTGTACCCCTCAACTAAAGTCCTCAGCAGAGTGCGTGTCTGCCGAGCCATTGTCCTTGCTGCCGCCTATACATGCGCATTTTGCATCCTCGCCTACGCTGGCCATGCGGACACCCACCCACACCCTTACCGACACTGCACACACCTGACCAGGTGTACCTCCTCGTGGCCCTTGACGGCCACTTCAAAGGACAGCCCCTGGATGAGCGGCTGGCGCAGATGGCGTGCGGGGAGCTGCTGAAGCGGGAGCTGGCGCCACGGCTGGTGGTGGAGGCACTGGACGCCCTGAAGGGCAGCTTCCTGGCAACTGACCCTGTCCAGGTGCGCAGCAGGGCGTGCGCAGCCAACTGCCGGCCCAATCGCATCCACACCATGTACGCACACCTGGAATCAAGCCGCAAGGACAGGCAAGGACGGTGTGTGCAGGCGCTCTCCCGTGTTGAGCATCCGAGTGCAGCGTAGTTGGCAAGGGGCAGGCACACAAAAATGCCTGGTGGCGTGCCTTGCTGGTTCTTGCATCAACAGCACTGATCGCTGGCCCGACCAGCCACCCAGTGTGTGTCACCTCCAACCACAGGCGACAGCAGCAGCCGAGATGCTGCTGCGGAAGGCTGCCCTCACCAGTAGCGACAACAGCGGGCTGCGCCTGCCAGAGCTCCAGCGCGTGGCTGACGCCGCGGCACACTTGGGGCGCAGAGGCAGCGCCGCCGGCATCAGCGCAGCGCAGGGCTTGGGGAACGGCCCCGCCCTCGCGCTGTTGCGGGCGGCCTCGCGGCAGGCAGCTCATTTGACGCTGTCGCAGCTGCTTGATGCGATGACGCCTGCCGTCCAGCAGCCCGGATGCCGGTGGTCTCATGCAGGCCTGCTTTCCAGCATCGCAGAGGCCGCAGCCAGAGAGGCGACACGCGACTCCAGCGTACGCATTGGCGGCAATCCCGCCGAACCGCCGTCTGGGGCGCTGGATTCTCCGCAGGCGATGCCGCCCTCGGCACCAGAATTGCTGGCATCGGTGCTGGCCGCCTTGGATGCGCTTGGGTGGCGCCCACAGCCGGAGGCGGCTGCAGCGGGGTTGCTACTTTCAAGTGGCCCACCCACTGCCGCAGTACTAGCGGTGCTGGGGTCAGAGGCGCATCATGCAATCGCGCCACTGCAGTCCAGCAGCGCAGAGCCTTCCGGATTGGCGGCCGAGGCGGGCGCCAGCACCACCCATCGCAGCCGCGGCCGCAGCCGCAGCCGCACCCGCTCCAGCAGTGCTGTGGAGGCGCAGCAGGAGGAGCCCAAGCAGGCGCAGGCGTGGCGGTTCGGCGCGGCTGTTGACCGCGCGTTTGTCCTTTGCCGCTGGGGATTAGGAGGGGCAGACACAGGCTCTGCAGCGCTCCTGGGGCTGCTCACGCACCTGTCGCCGCTGTCGGCGTCGGCGGCGGCGCAGGAGGTCAGAGCCCTCGACGCTTTTGAGAGTGCGCGGCTGCTGTGGCTCCTGACAGAGGCAGTCTGCCCGGTACAGCTTGGATCCGGCGGCTCCTCGACGGCTGAACTTGCAGCGACAGCCGCCGCACCAGCGGTGGAGGCCGCTGCACGCGAGGCGTGGGCTCACGTCGCACCCATGCTCCACGCTGACGCGCTGCGGCCGCACGTGCTGAGGCTGCTCCCGGCGCCGCTGCTGCGGCTGCCGGCCCTGGCAGTCGCGGGCCTGGCACTGGGAGAGACAGCATTAGAACAGATTGGCAGCGGGCTCACGGCGGCCTGGTTGTCAGACCTGGAGTCGGCGCAGCCAACTGCCGGCGACGGCGGCTGCGGCGGCGGCGGCGGAGACAGCGGCGAGGGCGGCCGCCGCACTCGAGCGCTGCATCCAAGCCATGTGGAGCTGGTTTCTGACGAGGCAGCTGCCCTGCTGCTACTTCGTTCGCGTGGCGTCGCACAGGCGCCGCGGGAACCCTTGCCCTCCTGGGAACTGGCGGCCCTGTTGATGGTGGGGCATGGGCCGCCGGCGGCCGAGGCGCGCACTGGCTGGGCTGCGGCACCGCCGGTGTGGGCGCAGCGCATGCCAGCTGCCGAAGCAATCAAGGTGCGAAGAATGGGCGCACTGGACGCTGGCACTGGTTTCGGTTGGTTGCCGTCCATTCCAGAAGGTCGCCACTTGCGTTGGATAACCTGAGTGCGGGCAACTCTCCTGGTGACGCCAGGCGCCGCCACCCCATGATGCCTGTCATAATGCCTCCAAACAAGTCTCACAACGTTTGGCAGCCGCACCTGCTGCGCCTGACTGGATGTCTGACAATGTCTTTGAGAGCAGTAGTGGTACACTGCTCAAGTCATCGGTGCACCACTTCCATTTCCATCAGCTGACCTTTACACTTGCTCATCTCATCTACCAAATCACAATCCCAGCTGGCTGGCCACCTGCTGAGCTACCACGTGCTTGGGCCCTTGCCAGCGGCAGCGTTCGCGACAATGTCAGCCGGCAGCAAGCAACACGATGGCGCCGCCACCGACAACGACAACAGCAGCCTGCGTGCCGCGCTCACCACGCTTCAGGCGCGGCTGCCGGCCGTGGACGGCGACAGCAATGCCGAGGAGGCGCGGCTCATTGTCAGCCTGCTGGGCTACTGCGTGAGGGTGGGCCAACTGGTGGACCACGGGTGAGCGTGCATTTGGGGCGCCTTGAGGGCTGAATGCTTGCGGGAAGCACTCACATGCATGATATGCAAGCAGCACATTCTCTGGTTGTTCATCGCTCCTCCAGATTCACAAGCAGGCTCGCGTGCAGCGGGTGTTTACATCACTCATGTTAGTCAGTGCACATAGTCGTGCTCACCTTGTCTGATCAATCCGGCAAGATGGCATGTGTGGAGATTGCGTGCTTGCTCCCCGCACCACACCTTCTTGCCGTAGGTGGCTGTCGCGCGCTCTGGCCAGCATCGAGCGCAGCGCGTGCGCTCTTGCGCCTCAGCACGCCGTCGGGCTGGTGCGGGATCTCTGGTGTTTGTACGGCCACCAGGGCGTGATGCCAGCGCCAGCGCCGCTGCCGGCAGGCCTTCTCACATCCCTCGCCGAACTCGCCGCAGCACCGTCGGCAGCACCGGCCGTCGTGTCCGTGGCTCAGACATCAGTCGCGGACCCTTGGGATTCTGAAAGACTCTGCCAGCTCACCTTGCTGCTGGCACGGCAAACATCAGGCAGCGGCGCACCTGGTTCGCGGGCGGAGGGTGTCGCGCTGGCTGCCGCCTCACAGTCGGTGCAGCTGCCTGCCGGCCTAATGGCAAAACTGCAGGCGCGGCTCGGTGCAAGCACACGGGACACACTGTCGTGCCGGATGGTGAGCGGCATCCGCACAGCCTCCCAGACGCCCAGTGGCGAGGCAAGGGCCTGCCGCCTTCACCCACAGTCAGCAGCAAAATGGCGACTAAACAACACGCTGGAGGTCTGCCCCTTCAGCTATGTGAACAACCCAACGCGGTGACACTCAATCTGTTATACTCTGGGACCCCTGTCTCAATGCAATACAAAAATGTGGTGATTGCAGGTTGCTCACCGCGCACCACGGGTTGCCACTCATGCGGCGCCTACGCAGGTCCTGGCATTGGCAGGCGCCTTCAGCGCAGGTGGCGCCCTCAGTGGTGAACCCTCGGCCGACGCAGTGCTGCGCCTCGCGCTCGCTGCTCTGCCGCCGCACACGGCTGCCGAACTCGAGGCCCAAGAGGCATGGGCACTGCTGAGGTGGGCACTTTTGCAGCCCACAGCGTCACATTCTGTGTTGCTGTCTGCGCGTTCCAGGCCTAGGTACCCATCTGACAGTGATGAAATGTCGAAGGCCTGCGACGTGCCTGCTCGCATCCTGACCAAGCGACGGTCTCGGACGTGTGCTAACTGACCAACCTGATCGCACAACCCTCCGCGCGCAGGCACATGCTGCAGGCTGGGCTCACCCCCCACACAGCTTCTACCTGCGGCCCCGTCTGGGCCGCGCTGCTGCGCCGCCTGGACACAGACGACGCCTGGGATTCCAGCAACGGAGCCTCCAATGGTACAGCGGCCGCGGGCACCGCAGCAACCGCAGCCGGAGTGGCCGCGGCCGCTGCGGGCGACGAGGGCCTGGCCCAGCTGGCGCGTGCGCTCGCACCCTGCTACCAGGAGCCCTGCTTTGCGTCGCTGGAACTGCCCTGGCTGGGACGCGTGGTGGAGGGCTGCGCGGCGCGCTGCGGCAGCGGCGCAGACGGTGGGGGCGCAGCGGCTGATGAGGACGTTGCGCCAGGGGGTGACCTCTACGAGGTGCGGCCTGGCTGCCGTTAGGCCACTTGAGGGGCATTGATGCGATGCCGGCCGAGCTCACTGTCTGCAGCAGGGGCCTATCTCACGACAGCCGCACTCGCGCGTGGCGACGCTTGGCAGGCCGGTGCTGAGGCGAGCAGCTTGCGCTCGCACTGCCATGCGCAAGCTGTTGTTCTAATCTTAGACCTGTCTCGCCCCCACCTGACGCGCTGGTGTGCAACCCCAACTCACCACCACTGCTACGCATCACACAACCACACCAGACCCTCCTAGCCGTCTTCCGGCTGTCCCACCTGCGCCACATGACGGCGGCCGTCCTGGCTTGCGGCCGCAGCAGCGACGACAATGCTGCCACGTACGGTCGCCTTGGCGACAATGCGACCTCGCTTGCAGACTTGGAAAGCGAGTTGGTTGCAGCGGCAGTTCGCGCCGCTGGCGGCTTGACGCACGCTTCGCTTTGGAGGCAGTGGTACTGGCCGTGGGCGGGCAAGCAGCCGGCTGATGGGGATGACGGCTCAAGCGGCGCCGAGCTTGGCGCCCTAGAGGTCGATGCGGCCCCGCCACAGGCATCAAGTGGAGGGGGAGGCGGCGGCAGCACGCACCCTCAGGCTCAAGCGGCGCGCGCCCACGTCAGCCGCTGGCCGGGGCCGCCCGCCGCACTGCTCACGCTGGCCAGCTCGCTGCTGCGAGCCGCCGAGCTCCCGGCGGCACCCTTCAGCACTGCATGCCTGGCCGTGAGCGTGGGGAACGCAGCCGGGCTCAAGGCGGTTGCCGGCGGGGCGCTGTCGCGCCTGTGGGGGCGCCTAAGCAGTGAGCTAGCAGAGGCGTGCAGGACGCAGGCCGAGGCTTCCATGGCGGCGTTCCAGGAGGGTGCTGCCTTCGTGGAGCGTGGCATGTTGGGGGCGCTCGCCGCGTCCTGGATGCAGGCCGTGCGCAGCCTGCGCGAGAGGGGTGCGCCGCTGGCGGCGCTGCCGCTCGCGAGGCGCGTCGAGGCGGCGGGGCTGCTGCATCAAAGCGGCCTGGAGCTCTCGCCCCTGCTGCGCATGGCCCCTTGGGGGGACGGCGCGGATCTCTCCCCGCAGGCGTCGGCTGAGCTGCGGGGCGCGCTGCGCGAGCTGCTGCCGCTGCTGCTGCTCGACCTTTCGCTCTCCTCAGATTACAGGGGCTTTGACGTCGACGTGCGGTCGCACTTGATGACCCTTTCTCCCAGCCAGAAGCGCAGCAACACGGTGGCGAGGGTGGGGCGTCTGGCAAAGGGCGCGGTGCGCGCCGCGGAGAAGGCCCAGCAGCTCACCCTGGTCCTGCCGGACGCAGCGGCGTGGCGGAACGGCCCAGGAGAGCGCGCTGGCGAGGTGGCCGCTGCCGCCTTCGCCGAGCAAACCGTGAAGGCTTTGCTGGCGAGCGTGACGCGAATTGTGCCAGGTGTGGAGAGGGAGGTGCAGGTGGACAGCCAGGAGGAGGCGGGCGGCTGGCAGTGGACGTGGACGCCGGCCCTTGGGGACAGCTTCGAGGGTGGCAGTGCAGAAGAGGTCAGCGAGACCGCGGCAGAGGCGCGAGGAGAGGTGGACATTGGTCCAGGGGAACAGGAGGGCGGCCTCCGAGGGAGCGTGGGGGCTGCGGCGTTGATTGCTGAGTCGGCGGCTGGCCTGAGCGAGGCCGAGACGGGCCTGTTGCGCAATGTGCAAATCCTGGAGTGGGTGACGGCTGCATTGAACGGCAAAACGACCTGGAGGCCCGAGTGGGACCCTGCAAGAGACCACTTCAAGGCGTTTGTCTTTCTTGGGAGGTTACCCAGCCGAAGAGGTGAGGGATGGGCATTGCGGTACCACATGCATTGCAAAGTGTCACTGTAAGGGGCGGTGTGTTTGAGGCAAAGGGCACCTGCATACAAACACGCGGGCTGCGACAGCGCGCAGCGTGATTTGTGCACGGACGCAATCGCCGCTGCGTGCGTCAGCAGCCCTCTTGGGCGTTGTCAAGCCCTTTTCCCATGTGATGGTGCCCTGCCCATATGGCTTAAGAGAGCTCTCCCTCCCCTGCCTTGTTGCACCGTCGCCACACTTGCCGCTTGCTGGTGAGCCCTGCTGTCTGAATCAGCCCCACCCTCCATCCCTCACACACTCGCGTGGATGCCCGCAGCCTTGGAGCGCATGACTGATGCGGCCAGGCGCGCAACCAGCAGCAGCAACGTGGTCGCTGCGTCCAGGGACAAGGGCTTACGCTCCAAGGCCCACACCAGCAAGGGGGGCGGCAGGGGCGGTGGAAGGGGACCGGCGCCTCTCGCAGCGGCAGCGCAAAGGGCGGTGGCGCGCATGCGGCAGCTGTCTGAGGGCCCGCGGCGACTGGTGGTGCTGCTGCAGCTACTGGCAATGCAGCAGATCACCGAGGAGGTCGCCGTTGCCAGCGGCCTTGCCTGCGAGGTCACGCACAGGCCGGTGGTTGAGATGTCGCGCGCCGATGTCCTGGTGTCTTTGACAGAGCAGGACAGCAGCGGCGCGGAGCTGCTGCAGCGTGCATGTGCAGAGGGGTGGTTGAAGGCGTGAAGCAAGGCTGCCATCAATTTTGCTTGCTGTACAGGGGTTCCGCAGTGGCGTGTCTGATGTGTGTGGGGAGAGACTGGATGAGTACATGCATGGGTTGTCATATGTTGGCTATGCTTTTATCAGCAGCATGCCAGGCGACTTCAGCACTTGCGGACGCATGCGGTGGAGAAATCTTTTGTACAGTGTGGTATGAAGCTGCATCTCACGGCCGTTTCGCCACTTGGATTGCGATAGTCACCCACCCCTGCAATTTGCAAGGCTCTTGTGGCCTGATGATACCGTAGTCATTGTACCGTAGTAACACCTGGCTGATGTCAAAATTTGAAAAGCGTGGCAGACACACGATGACATAAAATCTGTGTACGCAAAATGCCTGGGCCACATGATACTGGTATGGACAAATAATGAATAATCAAGCACTGACCCGGCAACATCTCTGTGCATTTACAGCCCAATGGCAAGGGTCCTCTAGGTGCCAGGCAAGATTTTACGCAAACAAAGCAACTCACATTGTGCATGCTAGCTTGTCTCGGCAATCGCCGTCGCTGCATGGGATGAACTGCTCTGCCCAACAGCACTCACAACCTCTGCAGTGTTGGTGCGACAACGTGACCGCATCGGGCTGCCCTCAGGCTGGTCATGCTGCTGCCAGTGTGGCTCTGATGCGACAGCAAAACTCAGCCGCACCAAAAGCTGGATTCACAGCGAAACGCCAGCCGCAGCCCGGCTGTACGTTAGGCAGATGATGCCAGCTGCGTTGCAGCGTTGATGGCCCCCCTACAGCTTCTGCTCGCAACGCCACCCCTGACCGCAGCAGCGGGACCCTGGCTGCCGACAGTCGATGCACGCAGCTGTGCAGTGACGAGAGCGCGCAGCTGCAGCAGCAGATGAGCCATGGTGTTGAGGCCAGCTGCATCGCGCAGCTGCGTGGGCACAGGGGGCGGCAGCATGGGAACGATGTGGGCGGGCTTGCGAATGCGAGGGTTTTGATTCTGCCCGCAGTGGGCGCAGCTGGCCTGCAGCATGTGACGGAACTGGGGCATGCGAAGATGAGCTACGTACATCGTGCGTGATCTGAGGATGGTGCGCAGGGATTAACTTGCACTCCCAACGCTGCACCCACCTTGCATTTACCAGGCAGTCATGCAGCGCGACCAGCCGCTCAACCCCCAGCACCACTGGGCGCTCGTCCACCAGCTGCGCATCCTCCGCAACAACCTGCACGAACACGCGGCACAGCCAGATCGCATCCCTGCCCGCGCCTGCCGCACACAGCTGCCCGGGAGCGCCTTCGGCGCCGCGGCCAGCGTTGACCCGCGCTGGGAGCTTGTCAGCTATGGCGGGAGACAGCCCTCTGCAAGTGTCACCCGCCCGGCCTGCTGACTCGGCTGCGCCAGCGGTGCGTGCTTCCTCAAGCTCCTTGCACTGTTGGCACCTGTGCATTCGAAGCTGCCGGCATTCCTCAAAGCAGCATCCAGCCTGTCAGCGCGCCAGGCCTCGAGCGGAGCTCAGCATCCGCATACTGTACGCTGACCAGGCAGGGCGATGCTGCAAGGGCTCACTCGGCACAGTGCACCAAGCGCCGGCGTCTCGGCCATCCACAGTGTACGGCCGCCCTGGCAATGCAGGAGTTGTATAGCCCAAATCACAATGCAAGATCCTAATACAAGCATGCTGACCAGAGTGTGACATAAATCTAGTCATCTAGCCATTTCACCGGCATGAAGCAAATTGTGCACACGTAGTTTGGCTTGAGATCCAAGATACGTCAACCGATTCTGACATCTGTATCACGGGCATTGCGTCGTTGATCTGGACACACAGATCATACTTTGCACGCGTGTGTGAAAAGCAAGCTGGCCACCCGCCCAACATCCAGCAAACACGTGCATTCACAAGGAGGCACTTACGCAAGTGCCGGGTGTCGCCGGCAACATTGCGTGTGGCGCGCCGCTGCATGCTGCGCTGCTCAGTCGACAAGGCAGCAAGCGCTCTTGGAACGGTGAGAGGCCCGCTGTGATGATAGATTGCAAGTTCTGCCTGAGCGGCTGGGCATGTTGCAGGATCATGCACGGCGAACTCATGGTTGCAACCTGGGGACCGCATGCACCTGCAGGGCTGACAAACAAGCTCAGCGTGCAGCTCCCCCGCCAACGCCGGCTGAGCACTGGCAGTGGGTCATCCCTAGCCGTCCGTACCGGCCTGCAGCCGCTGTGCTGCTACAGCCCGCGGCAGCCGCAGCAGCTCCGCAGCGGCCATGAACCAGCCGGACCGCTATGAGCGGTTTGTGCTGCCTGAGCATGCAAAAAAGCTCGAGTATGTGGCCGACACGAAGCTGGAGAACGCGGGCACCTACACCGTGGAGCGCGAGGACCACACCCTCGGCAACCTGGTGCGCATGCAGCTGCACCGCGACCCCGCCGTGCTCTTCTCCGGCTACCGCATCCCGCACCCTCTGGAGCCGCGCATGCTGATCAAGGTGCAGACCATCGGCGCGTCCGCCGGGGCGAAGCGCGAGGGCGAGAAGGGGCCGCAGGAGGCGTTCACCGATGCGGTGAAGGCGCTGCAGGGGGAGTATGCAGAGCTGAGGTCCAAGATGGCGGACGCGCTTGCTGTCAAGGAGATGGAGGGAGGCGGCGGAGGCGGCGGCAGCAGTGGCGGCGGTGGCGGCGGCGGATACTGATATTAGATCCAATCTGCTTTAGCTAGCGCGTTATTACTCTGTTTGTTCGGAAAATTGATGTATGTTTGGTGTTTGGTCCGGTGTGTAATTTGCACGAAGATTCTTACGATGTGCTTGCTGGTGAAGAAATGGCCACATAATCAACCCACAATGCGCAGCTGCGACAGTGCATGGTTACCTGCGGAAGCTGCTCGGCGGCCTGAAGGCCTTTACGACGCACGAGAGGTGCCATGAAGGCAGGGTTGGGCCACGCAGCAATGGCTCCAGCACAGCGCGCACAAGAGTGTGGTGCAACAAAGTGCAGATGCAGGGTTGGGTGGGATCGAGCATGGTGAATGCCAGGAGGCAGGTTCAGATGGATATCCACACACAAGGCATCAGCAGCAAGTCCCCATCACACACACACACACACACACACACACACACCGTCAACCACAGTTGCAACTGCGGTGGTTTGCCTGCGGTGGCAGCAAGGACTGGACGCTTTCGCGCGGAGGGTGGGTGAGCTTGTGAGGAGCCGGCCGGCCACCAGAGACGATCCGTACCACTGGTGGTCGGCGGACCCAAGTAGCGCTTCCTCCTTGCGCCCGCAAGAGATTGGTGGGGCAGCATGCAGGCAAGCTCCACTGACCTCATCCACACCTTGTGAGCCTTCAGATGTGATTTGCAGTCCTCATCCTCCTTCATGTCGCGGCACTAGCGCTGGTCCTGCTTCGCACAGACAGGCTGCTCCGCCTCAAAGCGTGCGCGCAGCTGGCGGCTCCGCGCCGCAATAGGCTCCGGCGCGGCGCAAGGCACTTTCGGTGCACCCACAAAGATTGAACTGGTGGCTGCAATGGATGCGCTGTCAACACATGACTGTCTGCCTCCTGCCGCCCAGCCATACGTGTTGCTCATTTATAAATGTCACTTTTATTGCTGATTGTGAGGTTTTTGTGACACGAACGCTTTGCTAGTTACTTTGACTGGCAGGCATCAGCCGCGCCTCAAGAGCATCAAGGCGCTCCACCAGCCGGCTTATGCTCATGTGCAGCCGGTCCTCCGCCGCTCGCACCGTTGCCTCAACCCTTTCCACAATCCAGAGGGCATATGTAGAAGGGCCCCTGTCAGCGCCACCGTGTGCGCCGCTGATGCTACAAAGCTCCTGCTGCCGCGTGTTCTTGCAGCTCGCAGCTGATGTGCCCTTGACCCCAAGATCTGACTGCCGGTGCTGGTGCTGCTCTTGCTGCTGCAGCACAACACCTTTAGCCACGGCTGCAGCGAATGCTTGGACTGCAGCCGCAGGTGCCGTCCCCGAGCCCTGTAGCTTGGACTGCAGCAGCTTCAATGACTCCGGAAGGGGTGCCGCTTCGTTACCCGCAATGCCGCTACCTGCAGCAAGGTGCGGGTGGGGTCAAATGCACCAAATCACACTGAGATGCACGAGGCGAATGCCGCGACGCAGGGACTCAACTGCCCCTCAACAGAGCAACGCACCTGCAGCATGCTTCACCAGGAGCCGCAGCTCGTCCAGTTGTGAGTGAAGCGCGCCGACGGAGGCAGGAGGTGCGCAACGGCCATCTGGCACGCCTCCCTCAGACTCTTGACCCTGAGTCCCGCTGCGGCCCTGCTGCTCCTGCTGCTGCTGTGGCTGCTGTGGCTGCGGCTGCCCCTGCACCACTGCTTCCAGGTGCTCCAGCCTGCAGCAACCCTTGTCTGCCAGCGACAGCAGCTTGAGGCGCATGAGCACACACCCCGGCGGCAGGGGGATGACGAACTGAAACATGGGCCCCGTGGCGCTGGGCTCAGCAGCGGGCTCGCCGCGCGACGTGCCGATGTATTGCGGCTCCCGGTCGCTTGCGCCCTGAGCACGCAGCTCGATGAGCCGCGCGCTGCAGCGCAGGGTGACAGCAAGGTCACACAGACTGCCTGCAGCAGTCGCCTCGAGTACGAGCTCGCATGGCGGCTCGCTTGTGTGGGGAGAAGGTGGGGGCCGCTTCAGGAACATCGGCGGAGCTGGCGCGTCGGGCAGCCACGCCGCGGTCACTTGAACTCGCACGCTGCTGGGGGGCAGATTGATTGTGTATTGCAGCGCCATCGCAGTCTATGGGATTGTACCTAACCTGGGAACACCTTGGGAATGGAGGAAATGCGCTGCATGCTGACCGGTTTCTGCTTTATGAGGTTTTGCCAGCAGGGCAGGGCAGCAGCAGATGCTCGGCACCTGCCTGCCGCATGTCACATCCGGGAGCCTTCGAGGTTTCGCGTCATTCCAGCGGCATTCAGGCTTCTGTTTGACCAACCTGGCCACCCACGGGGTTTCTTGATCTGTTACAAGCCGTGATCTGCCAAGCTTTGCAATGAAGCGGGCCGTCGCCCGCGCCTGGAGGGCGGGCTGGCACTACACGCAGGAGCGTGGCCTGCAGACCTCCGCGTACGTGGCTCAGCAGGCAGCCCCGCAGCCTGACACGATCGAGGTGAGCCACGCGGCGTCGCGTCCGTCCTGGTTGATGCCATAAGTACTGCATATTGCATCGGATGCGTTGAGGATGTCGCGCTGTGCCTGCAGCAGTCATTTCCCGGGGGCCGCGGTTGCGCCACCACTGACGCACATGCTGCTGCTTCGCCGCTTGCTGCGACCTTGCTGCTGCAGGTGTTTGTCAACGACCAGCCCATCCAGATCCCCAAAGGTTTTAGCGTGCTGCAGGCCTGCGATGCAGCCGGGATTGACATTCCCAGGTGCGGTACATCTGTGAGAGCAGTGGGGTGGTTGGCTTCATGCTTTTTCAGGCCCTGATACTCAGCGCACCTTGGCTGTGGCCCTTGCAGGTTCTGCTACCACCAGAGGCTTTCAGTGGCGGGCAACTGTCGCATGTGCCTTGTGGAGGTGAGCAGGCTGCATGCAAGGTCCCTGCGGCGGAGCGGTTTCAGTTGCGCGCATGCCTCTGGTGGTGGGCACGTTGCCAGCCAATGTTGCGGCGCGCCACAGAGCAGCCGTTCCTCTTTGCGATACAGACGCGGCCATCACGCTGCCCATGCGTGCAGGTGGAGAAGAGCCCCAAGCCTGTGGCGTCGTGCGCCATGCCTGCTGGGCCGGGCATGAAGATCAAGACGGACACGCCGCTGGTCAAGAAGGCACGGGAGGGCGTCATGGAGTTCTTGCTGGTGGGCCTGCTGGGGGATTGAGGCACTGGGCCCGCAAAAAGGCAAAGTGCAGCGGGGGTGCAGCAGCGAACGTGGGGCTGGTATGCGAGTCTCGGCTCTGGGGGCAGGGTGGCAAGCAGGCGGGTCCAACCGGCAAGCTCGGTGAGCACAACCAGCAGCTATGCTGCGCAATGGAAGCCCAAGGCGCATCAAGGGTTGGCAGGTTGGTGGCTTGCAAACAGCGTGGTTTGGTAGCCGTCCTTGCTGGGGGCTTCCGAGGTCTGCTGACCGACCTCCAGCAGGGTATATACCCGCTTGCCCATCTCTCTATCTTCCCTCCTACTCCCCCGCAGATCAACCACCCGCTGGACTGCCCGATCTGCGACCAGGGTGGCGAGTGTGACCTGCAGGACCAAGCCATGATCTTTGGCTCCGACCGCAGCCGCTTCACAGAGATGAAGCGCTCCGTTCATGACAAGAATGTGGGCCCGCTGGTCAAGACGGTCATGACGCGCTGCATCCACTGCACGCGCTGCGTGCGCTTCAGCACCGAGGTGGCGGGCGTGCAGGACATGGGCGTCACGGGCCGCGGACGCGACAGCGAGATCGGCACATGTGAGCGCCGCGGCTGAGGGGGCATGGGCGGGGGGCAGCCAAGGAGGAGGGCGGTTGGCTCGACATGCTGCTGCAGCCACTGCAGCGGACGTGGCTGGGCGTGCAGCCGGGCTGCCGCACGGATGCAAGCGGCTGTGCTGGCTGTTTGGCTTGCTCGACTTTGCATGCATCCTTCAATTTGCCTCTGGCCCCTCCAGGCGTGCTTGACCCCTCCCACCCCTTGTGACTGATGAGCAACCCCGGCCCGACAACCCCTGCCCTGACCCCCGCTCCTCCTCCCCCATTAACCCCCAGATGTTGAGAAGCTGCTGTCCAGCGAGCTCTCCGGCAACGCCATCGACCTCTGCCCCGTGGGCGCGCTGACCTCCAAGCCCGCGGCCTTCACGTCGCGCCCCTGGGAGCTCAAGACCACGGAGAGCATCGACGTGTCGGACGCGCTGGGCGCCAACATCCGCGTCGACAGCCGCGGCGCCGAGGTTATGCGCATCGTGCCGCGGCTCAACGAGGCCGTCAACGAGGAGTGGATCAGCGACAAGGCGCGCTTTCAGTATGACGGCCTCAAGAGGCAGCGGCTCAACCTGCCCATGGTCAAGGTGCGCCGCTTTTTTTGGGGGGGGGGAGGGGCGCGCTGCGGGGGAGAGGCTTGGCAGTTTACTAGCGGTGGGGGTGCATTGAGGTTGTGATGGCAGCAAGGCAAGAGGTGTGTGGCCGCAGGCTGATTGAGGGCAACGTACGGTATGGCAGGGGCGTTCCCTTTGTTCCGCCAGGGCCGCTGTCACACCGGTTGGCTGCCGCACACCTCTCCTCTCTCCCGCTGTCCGCTGTCGCCTGTTCCTCACACCGCCCCCCCCCTCCTCCTCGCCTCCAGGGCGCCAACGGCCAGCTGCAGCCCGCCACCTGGGGCGAGGCGCTCGCCGCCGTCCGGGCCGCCGCGGCCGGCAAGTCCGGCACCCAGCTCAAGGCCATCGCGGGCAAGCTGGCAGACGCCGAGTCCATGGTGGCCCTCAAGGACCTCTTCAACCGCCTGGGCAGCGGCAACCTGTGGCACGAGGGCGGCTTTGCCGACCTGAGCGCCGACCTGCGCGCGACCTACGTGGCCAACACCACTGTTGCCGGTCTCGAGCAGGCGGACGTGGTGCTGCTGGTGGGCACCAACCCGCGCGTGGAGGCGCCGGTGTACAACGCGCGGCTGCGCAAGGCCTACCTGGACGGCTGCAGGTTCGGGCTGGTTGGGGAGGCGGCCGACCTGACCTACCCCTACGAGCACCTGGGGGCCGACGCCGCGGCGCTGGCGGCGCTGAAGAAGGGGAGCCCCTTCTATGAGGCGCTCAAGGCGGCCAAGCGGCCGGTGGTCATCGTCGGACCTGGCGTGCTCAACAGGTGGGGGATGGGGGCCCTGGGGTGGTGGTTGGCAAGCGTTACACAGTTGTGTTGGCCAGCAGAGGGAGGGCTGTGCCATGGCATGATGGTCCTGGCTGCCTCAGCACCACTGCACCGCCGAGGCCCTCGCGCACAGGCCTCTCCATCCTCACAGTGCGTGCAGGTGCTTGCATATCAGCTTCAGCAAGTGACTTCACAATCTCGTCCCGGCCTCCCCTATATATCTGAATCCATTGCTTCCACCGCTGACTCGGCTCAACTAAACTCCCTCGTGGCCCACGCTTTCACCCCACCTCCTCCCTGCCCCGCCAGGCCCGACCGCGACGCGCTCGTCAAGGCACTGCACAGCCTGGTGGAGGGCGCCCTGGTGGTGCGCGACGACGGCTGGAACGGCTTCAACGTGCTGCACGACTCCGCCTCGCGCGTCGCCGCGCTCGACATCGGCTTCGCGCCCTCCGCCGCGTCGCGCGCCCCGGGCGCCAAGCCGGCCGAGTTTGTCTACCTGCTGGGCGCCGACGATTACGACGCGGCCGCGGTGCCGGACGGCGCGTTTGTGGTTTACCAGGGCCACCACGGCGACAAGGGCGCCGCGCGCGCCGACGTGGTGCTGCCCGGCGCGGCCTACACCGAGAAGAGCGGGACGTACGTCAACCTGGAGGGCCGCGTGCAGCGCACGCGCGCGGCGGTGCCGCCTGTGGGCGACGCGCGCGAGGACTGGAAGATCCTGCGCGCGGTGAGCGAGGCGCTGGGGGCGCCGCTGCCCTACGACGACGTCGACGCGGTGCGGCGGCGGCTGGCGGACGTCGCGCCGCACCTGGCGGTCGTGAGCGAGGCGCAGCCCGCGGTGTGGATGAACGGCCACTACGCCCGCACGCTCGACGGCGCCAAGCCGGCGGCGGCCGGCCCCCTGCGCACCACGATCGAGTCGTTCTTCCAGACAGACGCCATCAGCCGCGCCAGCACCACCATGGCCAAGTGCGTGCAGGCGCGCCAGACCATGAACTACTAGGCCTACTTCGCGCCCCTGGGCGCCGCGCTGCTCAGGGGCTGCCGGGTCGGTGTCGGCCACGACCGCAGCTGCCCCTGGCTGCTTCCCAGGAGGCCAGCGCAACAGTGCGGTCTGGCGCAAACTGCTGTCTGGAGTTGGCTCTGGGCTCGCATGTCTGTATGCTTGTGTGTCTTTGCTGTAGTTTCCCATGTCTTGATCATCGTATTTTGTTTCTGTTTTTTGTGCAGTTGAGCTCTGTTGTCTTTCGTGCATCACAAGCTTATCCACCACAATAGGGGGCTTCGCCCCTGGAAAGGCTCCATGTCTGCGTGTACCGCCATGCACCCACTTGGCAGCACCGCCTGCCTCAGCTTGATCCTTAGTGGCAGCTTCAACTGCACTTGACGGCAGCACTTGCACAGGGGTTTGTGGCTGTTGTGTTGCCCTTACGCTAGGCTGCTGCCTGCTTGATAATCAGTCTCATGTAACCGCTTTGTCTTCCTGGCTGTGACATGGAGATGGGGCGATTCATGTGCTTGTCGCAGATCCAATAGGTGCGGCAAAACATTCAACAATATGTTGTTGGCAAATCAAGGGCATGGGCAGGCTTGAGAATCACATTGCACAAGTTTGAGAGCAGTGGCCAAGAAGCAGGAAGCTGTACAGAAGTGGTTGGGACCCTTGATGTTTTTCAGACACGCTTTGCACCGGGGGTTGACGTCACAGGGCGTCAAGGGCTGAGAGCACTGCAATTCATACTGACGGCCCTCATTGCCAGGAAAAAAGGCGCGAGCTGGGAACATGCCCTTGCAGCAGTCATTTGCGCGTTCCGACGCCAGGCTGCCATGCACAACAGAGGATACCAAGCTCAAGCCTCCCTTAGGGGTGAGCTGCACAAACAACTGGCTGATGTTCAGACTGCATCATGGGCAAGAAGAAACAGCTCAGAGTGCCCTTGTTCTGCAAGATAGGCATTCCTTGCAGGCCCTCAGACAAACCTCTGTGGAAAAACATGTTGCCAAGTCCCTGCAAACGCAAACTTGTGGCCTGCCAACAAAGCTTGCCGCACCCTCGCGCGTACGCCCCGAAATGAAGCCCCTTCGCTTCAGGACGCAAAGCCGTAGCAGGCCCTGCCCAGCGCCGCCGCCTGCCCAAGGTCGACAGCCATCTCACCACCACGCCCCTCCAGCGCAGCCCAGTCCACATTCACAAAGAAGGGGTGGCGCATCACTCGCTTGGCAGTGATGCGGCGTGAGGGGTCGCGCCGCAGCATGCAGCTCAGGAGGTGCGCAAGCTCGCGGCCAACGTGGGCCGGCGGCACCCAGCAGCCCGCGTGGATGGCGTCATAGGCGCTCTCGTAGTCAGCCGGGTTGACGAGCAGGCGCACAAATGTCATGCCCAGCGCCCACACGTCGATGGGGCGGCTGTCGGTGCAGCGCAGCGTGCACCCCACAGTGGCAAGCGCGACGCGCATGGAGCGCTGCGGCGACTTGGGCGCGAGCTGCTCCGGGGCCATGTAGTAGGCCGAGCTCTCCGTGTCGAGGCCGTGGTCGCGCGCGCGGCCGGTGACGCCCAGGTCGCTCAGTGTGAGGTAGCCGTCGCGGCCCACCAGCAGGTTGCCCTCCTTAACGTCAGAGTGGCGCAGGCGGGCCTGGTGCACGCGGCGCAGCGCCAGGACAGAGTGGGCGGCCACAGAGAAGAAGACGCTGGAGCTCAGCAGGGGCGTCCAGCTCACAGGGGCGGAGGAAGATGACGACGGGCTGTCGTCGGTGCTGCTGGCGATGTCGGAAGCGGCGGCGGCTGACGGCCTGGCGCGGCTGAAAGGCTTGGAGCGCAGCCAGGCCTGCACCTTGCCGAAGTCGGTGGAGGCGGCGCTGCTGGTGCTGGTGGCGGCGGCGACGGGGTTCGCGGTTGTGATGGGATAGATAAGTTACTCATACCATAGCATCACTGCCATCGGCCTCGCGCTCATTAGAGCGGACCTCCTCATTCCTAACCTTCCAACGGATCTGCCAGCAAGCATACACATAAGGGGCAACAATATCAGCAAGCACAGAGCCACCAAGCAAATCAA